TCAAGACCTTTCAAATTATGTATATTGTTGCACTTTGTACATAGCCGCGAAATTCAAAAGATAAAAAAGCGGAAGGGAGATTGAAAACCAATATAATTTATCCATTGTACACACTCCACCGTTTTACCAGATATACAACTCAATAGTTAGGATTTTTAAATTGCGCTATTTATTACTAAATATTGCTGAACGTTCGTGAACAGTAGCGTCTCACTATCATCAATAATAAAGCAAAATAATATATTTATAAATGGCCTTATATTTGAGAAAATTTTAACGTTCACTGACCTCGACAATGAAAATTAAAGTGTATCGAGGTTAAAAGCCATCGGATGTGAACTTACCATATGGATCGAAACGATCATTTAATCGCATTTATCACGTTGATTTACATATATAATATATGTAAATAACATATGTAAACTATAAAGAGCAATGAGAAAAGTACACATTTTTAACAAAGTTTGCATCTGGATTTCTCTTTGATGACTTTGCATCATTTATGCTAAAATCCCCTATGAAAGAGTTAAAAAACAACTTGTAGGAATAAATTAACCCTTTTGAATGCATTAGGGTTGTTAAAAAGCAGAACATTGTTTGTTAAAAGTTGCATTTACTATTATTAAAGTTAATATTCGATATTACTATACCAAAAAATACCAAATAACATTTTATACAGTAATCATAGTTCATATTTCCTTCCCTCAATAAATGAGGATAAAGTTGGTCACATTCATAATTTAATTTGCACAATTTGTAGTCTGAGATATATATTAAAAACTTGTAGCTTTCATCAACAGATCTGACAAGATGTAATAATATCATAGTAAGAAAAGGTCACATATATAATTAGCGAATCATAATATTATATATCTTTCTTTTTTTTAAATTTATAAGTACATATACTCGTACATATATTTAAATTACGAAGAATAAACTACTAAAACCCTAATAACATTTGTTTGCTATCGCGTGACACTTGCTGCAAATCCAAAAAAAAATATTTAATTAAAAAAGGGTTGAGCATGTGATTTTTGATTTTAAGTGCATTAAACACTTTGAATGAGTTCTTGGTTTTCCAGGAATATCATCCCCTACGATATATTAGTGATTCAAGAATTTTGGAAGTATTTACTTTAGTACAATCAAATTACCTAAGAGGAACCGATGTAAAATTGTTCTCAATATAATGATGTAATGGAGTGTAGTCAAGCTTCTGGGTATAAAGTGACAGTCGAGGGGGCTATACTCAATTCCTACTCTTGCGTCCACGTCGCGTACTCTAGAAACGTGGGCGACCCTTGCGCAACCAAACAATGTGTAGCCTTGGGTCACGGCTAAAAGAGAGGAAGCATAAGTGAAGTCTCTCCGACTTATTCGGGTCTAATTGCTCCGTCTATCCACCAAAAGTGCGACTACGAGCGGGCATCGGCCTTGAATTATGCGGTTGTGCGCTGCGTTTGGAACCCGTCACCTAGAAATCAGCTCCAATGAATAATTTATCAGGTAATAATTTATCAGGTAATTACATGTGCCTGAAATGTTCAGTCCATCAAATATTAAGGTGCCGCTGCCCAGATGGTTGATGTTCTCATAAGGCTGACATCACTGCCGCCCAAGAAGTGCGATGGAAATTTGGTGTCAGATTTGTGGTGGGAGAGAGATCCCGTCGTCGATTACTGGCATTCACCACAGTGGATGAACGTATCGCCACAATCTCCATCAAACCAACGAAAAATAGGGACGATTTGGCCAAAGACTCGACTCGGACAACTATCTTATTGCAGCGAAGATGCGCAGCCGATATAAGGAAACTGTGGAGCAGTACTAATAAAAACACGTAGGGGTGGGATAGATGCTGAGAGCTAGAGATGGAAGCAAGAGCCCAAAATACGTAAGTATGAAGAGCTTGAGAAGATGGCAGACAAGGGAAATGCTTGAAATTAATTACAGTTGAATAAGCCTCCTTAAATTGCGCATAAGGTTTTATCGAGCGTGTTGTGTGAAAGACTAAAGCCCATCAATATGGCTTTAGACCGTTGACCAGATATTCACCATGCGCCAAATCTTGAAAAATCAGCCAGTAAAAAATTAATACACACCATCTTTTCGTAGATTTTAAAGCAGGCTTCGACGACGCGAATAGGAGCAGATTTTACGCACTTATGTCTGTATTAGGTATCCCCGCTGAAGAGAGGAAGTACAATCTTCTATACGAGTGTGAAGATGCTGATGTACGCCGATTATATTTACATTTTTATTCAGCAACCGCGCCAGAACTCATGGCCTTTCTACAGACTCGGGTAGGAAGCGAATGAAATGGGTCGTATTCGTGACCCAGCTCCCATTAAATGAATTAGAGATGACCCTCTCAAAAAAATGGTTTGATTCACATAAAACTCTGGGAAGTGGACCACGGTGTGAACTATAATTTTTAAGTTTTTCTTAACTCTTTAGGTTGAGCAAATATTAGTTATTGGAAATAAAAAGCACAGATAATTATGAGACGAGTTCGGTTTAAACTGAAAAAGAATGAACAAAAGATTTTTGTGATTGGAAGTTTCGGCTGTTTTACTTTTAGACCTTCGCAACAAAAAGAATAAAACGCTTAACTTATATTGTGATAATGAATATATATGCTTTGTTTTATAATATGACTAAATACATACGATTTTCGTAAATCAACTTCGATGACTTCGCAAATCCTCCGATTGTTAAATAAAAGTCCCAAAATTCGTCGTTGAACTTCTTAATTGTATTTACTGAATATGTATATACATATATATATTACATGTGCATACAGGCCATATATAGTATATCATTCAGGATATATATGTGGATTGCGTCAAAAGTCATTAACGAAGTAGCCAATCCTTCTACCTAGAGTCTCCATCCGGTTGTTATGCTCGTAGATGTTCTAAGTTTAAATCAAGGAATCACGATACCTTTCATTTCGGACTTTGAGGGATTTAAATCCAAACCACAATCTCTGCTTTTACTACATGATGGGCATTTGGAGTAGATCACTTAAAACTTGGAGCCTGTATATTTGCATCCTGTATATTTTAGTTTAAAAAACAGCGTTTTGACTTCGAGACACCATAGGAGTGGAGAGATAACTTCATCTTTTAGGGCGTCTCTTTTGGCATACTTATTTGCGGATGCACCTTTTAATTCAGCGAAGACTACCATTTTTCCTAAAATAGACTTCACCAGTCTCACTAACTGCGCTCCAACTCCCATTTCACGGAGGGGGTTCGTGACTCTCTCTGGTAAGACATTATTAAAAGCTCCCTCGATATCGAGGAAGATGGCTACTCGTCACGATTTTGTCGAAAGCGGTGTCCATAGTAGGCAATTGGGAAGCATGATGAAATAATAAACAGATGAAGTAAGTAGAGTAGAAAGAGGATTTGACACTGCTTTAGCTTAACGGAGAAAAAGCGGAGGGAAGTAACAAAAATCGAGAATTTCAAGGCGATTTATATTTATAAATATTGAAAAAAATAAATTACATACATTATTTATATAACTGGCGCTTTATAACTGCTGAAATATCTTTCAGCTCCTCCTATTATGATGTGTGCCTTGATATTTTCCCAACAAATAAGGCCTAGATTTAATTCTAAGCTGCCTCGAAAACATGTGACAAATTTTTATGAGAAACTTTTGTTTCATGTCAGAAACACAATTGAAGGGGTTAACATTCCCAGCCGGATGACGGCCGCAATTAGAAAAGAATACGTTCATTTTATTATTTGGATTTTAAAAAAATTTGGATGTTGGTTGGGCCAGAACTAAAACCCAGTGACAGTCTGGACTACCATGGATCCGTGTTCGACCGCGGAAGGTCGCGGTTATATTTGCCTGTTACACTAAACGGCTACAGATTTACTTAACAGCTGCTTAGAGAAATCAAAGCTAGTGGAAAAGGATCGTGCATTGGTCTTGAACGAACACAATAAAAAGGGTTTAGATGATCTTAAAGGGATGATCATCGCTTTACGACTATGCAGTGAAAGCAGTTTAGTGAATCGTAAAAGACTTTTATATGGAGCAAGACTCCTATTTGCATCCCAGTGTAAGTTTTTTAACGCAAATACCTTAAATTTAACCCAACATTTAGAGTTATTTTGCCTTATTAGCACACAAATTTATATTTCTAAAAGCTAACTTAATCCTCATTGTTTCAATATAAAAAGGTTTTTATGGCACATTTAAATATATGTATAAAATAGCCTTTATAACATAGTTTTTATAAAGATAATTGTAAAAAATGTTGCATGTTTCCTACAAATTGACAGCATTTGTAAATGTGTATGCATGGTGCACTTCCTAGAACGGATCGCATGATTTTATCATAACCACTTAGTACTATTTTCCTTGGTTAAATTTTCCTTTCATTTTTTTTAAATGGGTACAAAATATTTTCACGCATTGTACAACTCCTAACGAAGATACATTTTTAAAAAATGTACATAAATCCAATATTTGAAATTACCTCTTTACGTATAGACGCGACACTCGGCAATTAAGAACTAAGAATAAATATATTTATTGTAAGTTTATAATTATGAAAATTTACATTATAATCAGAAAATTTGTAGTGATTTCTACCCTTTTAAATGATCAAAAACTTTCAGTTCATCCTTTTTTAAGATTTTTTTTTTAAATATGGGAATATAATTCTATGAAAGCAACGGATTTTGCTAAAGCAGCGAGTGGGAAAGGGACAATTGTTTACTTACTTCACCTGTACATTATTTCATCATGGTTGGGAAGTATCTCCTGACGTATACAGACGCCAAGAATTCTCTCTAAGGTTTCAAAAATCTGAAAAATTCTAAAATATTTGGCTCCTTTACTAAGTCAATAATGACTTTTTCACGAAAGGTTTTACATGTTTTCGATAGCCTTGATAGCAAAAATCTTTGCATATATTTTCTTTTTAATAGTATCTATTTGTTTATATTCTAAGGATATGATTCATCAATGTATTTCATTTACTCGTAACCTAACGGATTATGAAACGTGAAACGGAAATAACGCAGGGTGAATTTCACTTGCCGTACTGTGGGGGAAGTATCATTTCCATCGGCTGCCGTTTCATTCCTTTCCATTCCATAACTGCACATGTTCTCACGATGCTGTGTTGGTGGTGGCTAGTAGTTTTGATTGCGAGCAACGGTGGCATTTGCGTTGGAGGTGGTGAGTTTGTTGGATATTTGACTTCACCAGCGCATTGCATTTGGTTGGAAGAAATGAAATTTAAAAAAGCAGTATTTGTAATAGCGCGGCCGTGGTTTAGTGCAGTAATACCCACGGATCATTCTTAAAATAAGTTTTTCCGCGTCGGATGTCGATGATTGTATTTGAAATTTTTAGAGCGGGCGCAATTCAATAAAACAATATTAATTTTAATTCAAATTTTAAAATCAATGTGCATTATTTTAAACACAGTATTAGCCTTTAAATCAAATGTTTGTGTATATGAAAGCTACGAGATCAATTAAAATCAATTTGGTTCAATTTGTGAACTGTGCACATTACGTGCATGTACTTATATATTTGTACACATAAGAAATAATAGTTTTATATGAGTGCAATAATTGAATTAAATAATAAAAACAATTAAACAGAATTTTGAGAAACACTATTGTTGATAGATACAAAAGTCAATCGAAAAGTTCATGAAATTATCAAAATAAACCAATAGAATTCGGTGATTTATGTACCTACACACAATGACAGACGAAAGTTTACACACAATACCGTTGGAACACAACATCGACTATCATATTATGTCGCTTTTCGAGCGATTGGAGGCGATGCGCAAAGATTCGCACGGCAATGCCATAAACAACCGGCTTTCGAGTACACTGCAACCAAAACGCAACATGCAAGGGGAAATACGAACACTGGAATTTTGGAGGTGCGTATATAAAAAATGATTTACTAAATATGAGAGGATATATGTAAGTACATATGCATGTACGTAAGTAACGTTTTTGAATTGTAAAACAATATTTTTATTTAAATATTGCGAGGCAATGTCAATGCAAGGAAACCGTATTTTTATTTATCGGTTTACATAATTTTTTTAAGGTAATTAAAAAAAAGTTATGAAAAGGAAGAAATTAAATTGAGAGTATGCATCGGCAATAATGTTATAATTGGCTGTATGTATAATCCGTTTTTTTATATCTTAACAGAAGTTAAATCTCTATACGAGTATATAATGAACAAAATATTCTTTTTAGTATTTCTTGTACCACCATGAGGGATTTGATCGCAAAAATAATATTTGTGTGAATTTGAACTGCCACAAATAGTTGATTTCAAAGTTGTAATACTCGAATTTCAATTTTTAAAGACCACACACAAACACAGAAAATGACGGTATAGAATTCGTGAGCAATAGAAATTGAATAAATATTTCAAGCTCCTTGTGAATAATAAAGACGACTGTTTATACGAGGAAACAATAAAATATGAACAGACATACATACATCTATAGCAAGATTTATAGAATACAAGGTTACGACAACCGTTGACAATACATTGGATGGGACTTAATATTTATATAAATGAATAATTTTCTTATACGAAGGAAAATAGATATTAAAAATTTTTGTCCTTATATATGTACTAAGATATGGCCATTTTTTGACTGAAAAATTGCGAAAAAATTAGCAAACAATAAACTACCAGGGCCCAGGTGACCGATTCACCAAAAGTGAACAAGAGCTTTACACTTTACTGTTGCGGTGGCGATTATACGTAAAAACCATTTTCTTTAAGCAATACTTTATTTTTGCCGATATATTTTTTCTTTAACTATCTGATGAACTCAAGTTTTCTTAATGCCAAAACGTCAGGTTTTGGGGCAGTTAGTGAATATGCTACAATATCGCAATCATGGAAGCGAAGTTGCGGCAGCAATAGCTGAGTGGTTAGCATTGTGTACTGCCATTCAGAAGCCTTGGGTTCGAGTCATGATTCGATCACTATCCAATATTATAGAAAATTAATTATTTTTGACATGTAAGCTCTTCATAATGCATCCGTCAATCGTAGGCGGCTTATAATAAACTGTACGCCTCTCCATTTGTTGGAAAATCATCAAGACGCATACCAACGTTTCAGTGGTTACGAATCGCCAATTATACAGATTTTGATCGGAAATTACAGATGGTCTCTTAGGTAGATACAATTTACAAATATTAAAAGAAATGTTCAATTGAAGATAAAAAACGAAACATCTGTTATAGATTATATTTTACTTTATATATGAATCTGTGCATATCAAAGACGAAAGTAGGATAAAAATACATGCCAAAAAGTCATGACCAAACAAGCACCAAATTATTTGATTATGTCTTGTTGGCAATTAATTAAATTAGTATAAACTGTGAATTTAAAAATTCAATTGATGAAGTGAATCTAAATTTGTAAATTAATATGCGAAGAAAAATTAATATGTACACATGTTTTGCGTGCGTACATTTGCACTTATGTATGTATGTATCAAATAAATATTACCTTGACTGACCGACCGGTTATTGAGGCTTCCTTCTCCTTAATATTTATCCACAAAAGTATGTACTGTATACCCCATCAAGGATATACGTATAGATACTATAGACTCTGCGGAATGTCAATATCATTTGCAGCTGTTGCAACCAATTTTCCAATAAAAAACTAACCGATATTAAAAATGGGATATATGTATGTACATACATTTATATACAACTCTCTAAAATGCTACACTGTGAACACTGTGAACGACACATATATTTGTTTATATAAGATTCACGGAATGACGTGACAAACACCACTTCGCACGTACAACTCTGCTTGAATCTTCGGATACTCAGTTTTTATGGCGAAAGTACGGATAGTATTGCTAAGCATCGTCACTCGCAGACAAAGGAAATCAGTCGGCAAAAATTTAATTTGAATTAATATTAATTAGGTTCTTAACTTTGCGCTCTTAACAAAAATTTCGTACTCGAATCTACAAAAAATCTAAATATCATATAGCATATGGAATGCAGAAAACTGATCGTCCATTATTTATTTTGAATTTTTCACACCAGCTGTAATGAATAATCTGTATCATCACAATAACCTCGCTTTAAATTAACTGACTTTAAGATATGTTTAATAATAATGAAAATAATGGGCTACTGTCTAGTGCTTGGTTCCACTAAAAACTTAACCCTCCTCATTTGCTTTTGCATATTTTTTTTGCACTGGATGATTGAAATTGTGAGTACTCTTTTTGGGGAGAGCTTATCGATAGTTCCAACAACAAACCAATAATGGCACGCTAACACTTCTTGGAAACAGCTGCATATTTATATTTACTTTATCGAAAAAAATATGCACATATAAATTTTGAAATATCTACATATGCATGAATGTGCAAAAAGACCACTTATATGTATATGTATATTTAAAATTGATTTTACAAACAGACTAATACATACATATATATGTAGGCAAGCACAAAGAAAGACAAACCTCTAAATTAGCATTTTTTATATAAATTTTATTTTACCTTTTAACGTTTTGTATTTCTTGTTATATTACAACAACGTGCCCGCCTTTTCTTATTTCTCTCACAGATCTATCATCAGCGAATGTCTGGCATCCTTCTTTTACGTGTTCATCGTTTGTGGGGCGGCAGCCGGAGCTGGCGTAGGTGCTAGTGTGTCCTCAGTGTTGCTGGCAACTGCTTTGGCTTCCGGATTGGCAATGACAGCATTAACTCAGTGTTTTATTCACATATCGGGTAAGTTGCTGATTATAAATATTTCAATGTACTTACGAGTATGGATTCTAAGCATATATGCATGTATAATGGGAATGAAAAGTGAATCTTATGAGATATCTAAAGGCCTTTGTGCATTTTAATTGACAGCAGCAATCATTTCAATTTGGTTGGGGTTGATATTTTCTTCTAAGATAGCATTTTGAGAAATCGTGGGAATTATGGATCGCCAACATATTGACTGCAAAGAAACATTGCTTGTATTGTACTTATAAGAACATAAATAGGGTGGTCAATTATGGAAAGGGAATTATCTCTGCATCACTTTATAATTTTTTTTAATATTAATCTACAAATTATTTGTATATTTTCTTGATTCATGTTCATATGTATGCGTGCATGTTTTAGCACATTTCTTTAAGAATTAAATGAACGCGCTATTTCCTAGATGCGGGATACATACTCGTATGTATGCATAGGTTCGAGTCATCGAAAGTTATAGAAAATAAATTTAAAAAAAATTAAACTAATCGTACCTTCGGCAGGGGATATCAACTCCTGCAACCGTGTTTCATGACATGACATACGGAAGTCTATTTCTTTGTTGATTATTGTTTCTGAACCTCGTCCGGCAAAAATAGATAATTTCCTGTCAAAGCTTTTTTAGGAATTCATTGTTTTCCATTTTTCTCGTTATAGCGTGGTATTCAAATAAATAAATATTTTTTACATAATATTTATACATAACTTTTAATTGCACGGCATTTTCAATACTTAGCATTAATATCTGTCAATATAAACCGTTAAATAAGTAACTAAATACATACATTCCTATATTATATTTACCCAATTATGAATGCGTTACAATCATCACACTTACATTACATTTATATATTTAATATAAACATATGTACATATTGTATATTTTTTATTTCTACTTCTAATTAACAGGTGCACATATAAATCCGGCTGTAACATTAGCAGCATGCATTATACGCACTGTATCACCAATTCGTGCCGCCATGTACATAACGGCACAATGTGGTGGTGGTATTGCAGGAGCAGCTTTGCTTTATGGGTAAGTAGAGCATGTTTTCGAATATAAATAAAAGAGTAAAGTGTGCAAATGGCAAAAGGAATAAAACTTGAAGTTTTCTAACCGCAAAAGTGCAATAACACACTTAAACGTATAATATCATATAAAATGTTTACATTGCACATTTCATGCCAGAGTGGCCCAACGCGAAAAATTAAAAATATTCAGGAGAGACACTAATGGTTTCAAAGCTATAGTCTTGTGGTTAATTAAGAAAATGATATTCAAGATAGTAAACTTTTCTGAAGTTTTAATGATTTTCTATGTGGGCTGACGTAGAAGTAACTGATGACTTTTTCAGCGAAAAACCATCAAGTCATAGAGCTAAAAAAATATTTAGCGCAACACAAAAATCACAACGAATACGTTTTGAAATTGAGACGAACTCAGTTTAATAATAAATTTATCTATACCATTCTCCGCGACGATAGATCAACGAATTCAAATTCGTGGGAATCGGATAATACTGGGTTTTCGAAATATTAACAATCGAGAATTTATTCATCGGTTAAATCCAAGAATAAGAATAGCTATATCCAAACTCGAAATGAACCCATTAATGTGTCAGAAAAACTAAACACAACAGAGACACAGCGTTACTTATGCAGTTAAAGAAGATACTGATGACAAAGGAATTATATAAACAGATGTTTTCTGTGAGTTTCAAAAAATTATAAATTGTGTCGTTTTTATAAGGAGAACGCATACCCTAATATGTAGTAAAAAAAAATACATTATTTATGTATCGCGCGTTGTGTGGGTCTGATGGGGTTCCGCTAAATGATGACATTTCATACTAAAAAAAGCTTTTCTGAGAGTTTTTTGATTTGTTGATTCAGTTTTGTATGAACGTGTCTCAAAAATGGACACTAGCAAATATGCTATATTTTACAGGTTTTCTTCGATAATAGCGTTCATGGTACTGATACTGTTACAGTCAATCATAAACATTTGCATCCGATTATTTTGATGTAAAAGATGCTTCACGGAGCAGAAGGCCAATTATCGAAAATGTCGATAAAATCATAGAAATTGTCGGGCCCGACCGTCATGTAAGCACTGTTTCGTTTGCCCAATAGTTAAACATTGCACAAACAAACTGTTTGGGACCATACTATTATAAGATTTACTTCAAACCTTATTATTATTTGGTGTGGGGTTGAATATTTTAAAATAGATGTAAAATATATACAGTATTTCAACTATTGATCACACCTGTGTATCAGAAAAAGATTTTTGTTTGAAAACTTTCTGACACTCATCTAGTAAATCAGAAATCGCGCGCTTCCCCTCATCTCAAGAATATTCGATAGGGTTGAGGTATGTTAATTGAGAGCAGTTGTTTTTAAGCAACACGAAAAGTAATTATCTTGCTGAAAGATGACATCCGAAACATTCTTGCTACACTTCTAGGCTCCTGCAAAAGCCTTGTTGAAGGATATCAACATATTAGTTAGCATCCATTCGCCCGGTAATCCTTACACACTCTCCTACCCCCTCTAGACTCATACATACCCACAGCATTACATTATCCTCTTCAAACTTCAACGGTGATTGAACACTGTGGCAGGTCAAAGGTTCACGAGGTTTTCTCCAAATCTATTACCGCATATCCTTTTCCACGCGGTTTCGTCTGACCATATGACTAGCATCCAGTCATTTTAGGGTGTAGATTTTATAATATTTTTCAAATTGGAGCCTCAATTTACAGTGTTATTTTGTCAGGGGTGTTTTTTTTTTTACTTTGACAAGTCCACGCAATTCTTTTTCCGCAATTTATTTCGTGACTATGTAAGAGATCACACCTTATTTGGCCCACATTTTCATACACACCAAAGTTTATCTGCCTAACCGCCGGCCTTTCCACTGTGACGTTTAAGACCATACCAACAGAAACACCAACAAGACTTGGAACTTCTCTTTGTTTTGTATTTTAATTTCTTAAATTTTTGTTGCATTTAGTTTTATCTTCTATGCTGAAGACAAATTTAATAATAAAATAATAAAGAAAATACTAACGTTTTACGAAATACTTGATTCTAATGATTCCACTACTATTAATTATAGAATAAAAAGAAAAACTTGAACGGCAGAGCAATATTACTTCGACTAATAGTTCTTCGTCCACATTTGTAAATAAATAAATAAATGAATATTCACTTAGGTAAGATCCGGTAGATATTTGGGGACATTCCCAAACGATAACCCATTAGAAGGCTTAAGATTAATTTCTTTTTAGAATTTCCTTTTTTCCGATGTCTCTTAGTGGTACTGAAATATTTGGAGCGTATTCGTATTGTAAAAAATCCATTCGAATTATCTCGACGTTAATTTCGTTTACAAATTCGTTCAATAAAATTATCCATTATAAAATAAAAATCGCCATACATAATTAGGATGGACTGATTCTATGGAGCACCGTAAACAAATTAAACTACAGAACGCTAAAATCGAAGTCAGTATGGAGGAGGCTTGTGCTATTACTAACTTATAACTTGGTGGAAAAAGAATTTGACAATCCTTTGAAGTAAACTTTATAAATATTATTTCTTGACACTTTTTCGACATAATGTAAATATTTACATACCTATATGCCATTATAACAATTCTTTATGGTGTCTTATTAGAATTTTTTTTACCACATTCGTTAATAATTTTCGTGTTCTTAAACCAGAGTTTCCATTCAGATTTCGATAATTTTGCATTTGAAGGTGCAAATGTGCATTTAACTCTTGCTCACGGGCTTTGTTTAAAATGATTGCCCACTTAACTTATCGTCAGAAAGCAAAACCACAGCCTTGTGGTTTTTGAACGGTTGTAATTATTTCTCACTTTCCAAACCACAAATTTCGCACAATCCAAAGTACAATAGTTGTATGTAAATTTAGCTATGGTAAAAAATCTATATACTCGTACATACGAATACTTTGCTTTCAACTGTACATATATAAGCATATGTTGTATTATATTATCTTCTATCGACTGAAAGCGGGAGCCTCCAGGTGAAAATTTGAGTTATAGAGAGAGAGAAAGTAGCCGTCTGGAGACTTATCAAGTAAATTAGGGGACTGTAAGAAGGTATTTGTTGTCAGAAGCTCGTTCACAATGATGACTTTATAAATCAACTGATCTTCGGTAGAAGTTCGCAGTGAACAGCACCGCGATAATTACGAAAACAGTCTGCAATACCTTAAATTTTAATTAAATTTGGCCGTTATTCGGTTCAGTTTAAGCTGTAGTAAACTGTAGGTTGATAAGTTTGATCATTGGAACAATTTTTTTTCTAGATCACTAATATTACACACACACATTTACTTAGAGAATTATTTGGAATAGTGAGACGATTAGAAAACTTTATATTTTTCTATGCTATTAAAAGTGGGGGGAAATTAAAATCCCATATAACCATAGCACAGCGCAAAAAAGTCGTATTGCGTAGCTCAGAAATTAACTGAATCAGACTGAAATTTACTGAAAACTTGATTTAAACGCGATCAAATTTATTGTAGTAATCATTACTTTGTAAAACAGCATTGAAATTCTTATTCTTCAAAATACCCTTTTTTGTGGTATGAAATGTAACATCTTAGCAAACAAACTTGCTTAAACATTGTACCTCTAACCGAATAATTTCTTTCTTTATCCGAAAATGATATACATACCTGTGTGCGTCAGTAACAACTACTGTTACAATTTTTCGTTGTGTATTTGTTGATGAGAGAAAGTCTGTTTTCTTTGTTGATTTCGTAAGTTTATGATTTTTGGGTTTTAAACAACCATGAAGATCATTACTACGAGGAAGTTTTTGAATTTCCCCGTTCGGTTATTTTGGATTTGTACTGCTTCCGTAACTTAGCGTTATTAATGGGTGCTGAAATATTGCGCAAAAAGCAGAAAGCCCAAAAATTTTTGTAGCAGCTCAGCTTTTAAATCACAATCTACACGTTCCACAACACTCCTATTCTACTATATAGTGCAGAAGCGTGGACGATGTCGACATCTGATTATCCAGCCATAGAAGTCTTCGAGAGAAAAGTTTTGCGGATGATTTATGGTCGTACAGCAAAAGGTAAAGGACGGTGGTTACGCTGCCTGGGTCATGAAGACCCTCATCCAGTGGAAGAATCAATTGGAGAGCGACATGATTTTAAGTGTTATTACCAACTGGCGCCAAATAGCGAGGAGAATCAACGAATAGCGCACTATTGTAAATTAGCTATAACCGCGGAAACGATTAATTCGATTGGAGAACTATTGTATAATTTTCTCGATAGGCGAATTTAAATGCAAATTCATTTCTTGTATATCTCTATCCTTCTACTTTACACGTGAATCTTATACAAAAATCTCCATGTAAAGAGGATTCAGAACAATGGCTATGCTATTGATCGCAGGAATTTCCACCCTCTAATACCAAATCATATTTTATTTTGTTGTTCATAAATACACAACTACAAACTTACATTTTCAATACAATATGAATGTATGTATGTATAAAGCATATTTGGTATCTTACCTACCTGCTGTTATATGATATTTACCTTCCATTAACCAACCAAACGCATTCACATTACTCATGTGCACGATTGACATCCTGTTTGGTGCTTTGGAATTCCAACACGTTTTTCTACTAAGCATACTCCTAGAGAATAGTCAATTGGAAAGAAAACATCTGCCTCGGAGATTTAACTACAGCAAATTGTCAAGGATTTTTCACCCTCGATCATTAGACACGATAAACTAGAAGAGGAAATGAAAGAAGCACAATAATGTAGATGGTTTTCTAAAGTGTGCGTGAGTGTATACCTACATACCCAGATATTATATATAAACATTGAAGTGTATATATGGATGTGTGTTTCCATTTAGAAAAACCAATTGGTACAGTCAGTTCATTATAAGCGTAGCAGAATAGAATGATCTTTTTGATAAGGATAAATCTGGGGATAGGAATCCAAACATACTTACATAGGTATATAATA